AAGCTCTAAAGAGCAAAAATGGTCATTTCACTTTCCAAATTCAAAAAGGTGAGAATTACTTGAAAGGCATTTACAGACCACATTAAGGACTTTGTTTTGGATATGCTAAATATAATCCAAACATTCAACCATAGCGATTTTTAACATCAGCCTTCTCTCTTTCTTGTGTGGAAAATCCAGGGGTATTTACTCCTAGGTGAGTAGGCATAAAAGTAGAAAGTGCTTTAACTGGAAAGTCCTCTGGCTTGACTAGTTTGTAGTTCAGTCCATCCTAAGTCAGGATGAATGAAACAAGAGTCTACACTACATCTTCCTTACCTTACTATATTAGACAATAAAGGACTAATTTTTAATCAGGCTACAAACCAAATGATATTAGCTTTCAGCAAGAATGCATCCATGACAGAATTTAAAACTTGCTACAAAATCATTTAGCAGGGGAAAAAAATTCCACTCTGTAATTAGCTGGGTTTTTTTTCTTTTTTAAAAAATGAATATTTTTTTCTTTTCCGAGCAACTTTGCATCAGGCAAACAGTATTATTTTAAAAGAAACCATTTCCACAAATTAGACTGTCTCAAAATCATAAACTGAGGATAAGAATTACACATCTTTCAAGACTTAAAAGAAAATGCACATATCGACATGTACAGATTGCCAAGGCACTGTTTGATACTGCCCCCTTATGTCAAGTGAAGCCAACAGCTGAGGCTTACATTCAAACTTTTCCTTAGTTGTGCAAATCCCCAGAAACGTATTGAACAAAATGTGAAGCCATGCCAAAACTGCAGAAAGGGATAATGTACCACAATTCTGAGAATCTCGAGTCACAGTTAAACCTAGATATGAAAGATTTTTATCCTTTGTCATTGTAGTTCCGGATGAAGTCCCATCTCTCTGCCCATTGCAACCAAAGATCCCACTATAAATTAGAACATTGTGCAAGAGTTTCATTATTGCATTTAGCTAATCCTCTCCACTGAAGCAAGGGGGATTGGCTAAATGCAATAATGTATACAAGCATCAATTGCAACACCAAGTAATTGATACCTGGAATGAAGTCCCATGGACTATAATGGCATTTACTTCTGTACTAGGTGGTGCTTTCAATTCTAAGCTTGTCTCACTTCAATGTCTTGAACAGGATTAGAATACACTCAAACCACTATTTCTTCCACAATCATATTAATTAAGTTCATTATCGCCACTACACAAACAAATGCATTTTCTCCAGGTTCGAACAGTTACATCAGACACAAGAAACCTGTGGCCAACCAGATAACACTGAATTTTATTCTCAGCATTTGATGGTATGAACCAATGTGCCTGAGGTCACAAGTTCTCCACCCATACTCACATTTAAAGAAAACAGTAAATACCACACACAAACCTATAACGAACAATCCCTTTAGCACTAGTTATGTGTCAAAGCACTTTTACCAGATTATGAGTCTGTAGCACTCATTTATTGTTAACTGCAAAGACTGAGCAAAAGTAGATTTATTGAATGCCCTGAAAACTACAGAAACCTTCCTGAAAGACCATCCCAGTACAGTCATCTGAACAGATTAACATTCAACTATCAACCTTGTACCTCATATTATAGAACTGTCGGCAGGTATGTTATGAACATGAGACCAAAGTTGCCCTAAGACCCAAAGAATCCTCATCTCCTAGTAGAATGTTTGCAAACTTGTTTCAACATCCATACAATCCAAATTCCAGTGTCAGCAACTCTAAGAAGTCTGGATTTCAACTCCCAGAATTCCCCAGCCAGAAAAATAATACTTCCAGTAAGGAGAGTTAGAGTTCTCAGGGAACACACTGTATTCCAAAAAAGCAAAACCGTCTTCCTTCAAAATCAAAAACAAGATTGAGGGGAAAAAATATGTTCAGATATTGTCTAAAGTTGTAACTGAAGTACAAACACAAAGATGCACATACACTCCTGTTAAAAGATGCTAGCACTCCCAAATAATGTTTGCAGTGACTATGACACCACCATCAAAAAATAAACTTTATAACTCACACAACCTTTGCAATAGGGATCAAGAGGTATGCAACTTTTTTTTAAAAAGCTACACAAAAGACTAAACAAAACATTAAGAAAAAAGCTTTTAAATCAAGCTATAAACTAGTCAACCATTCATAAAATGTACACATCTATAAATGCTATGATGATATACAAGAAAACAAATGACTATTGGCTAAAAACTTAAATTGAAAAAAATCAAGCTTACAGTCTTGTCAGAAGCGGCAGCCTTTATATTCCACGTAAATACCTTGAGGCAGAGTAGCATTGCCACTAGAGGTATTTTATGTTTGGAGCTAAGAGCTGCCCCTTTAGAAAGCACATTCCTTAAAGCAACTCTTAACACAGAATGTCTATAGCAATAGACATCATCTTCCAATCTGTTTCCTACCTCTTATTCAAAATCTTATTTTAGAATTCCTCAAGACAGAGCCAAAGCACCCTAGCAGGAATGTAAGGTCAACCACAGCCTAAGATACCTGGGAGAACAGCAGAATTGGGGGTCTGCTGTTCTCTGTTACAACAACACACACTGCAAGACTGAACACACAGCTCTCCCTGAACTAGTTTATTCTTCAGAGACTATTAATCATAAAACAATCTGAAAGGGGAGGGAAAAGTTATCATCGGAGGAGTCAGTAAGAAAAACAAATGATTCAAAGAGATGCTGCATCTATTTTAAAACTCTGAGTAATTTGTTTGAGCATTAGCAGATTTCACTTCCCACCCCACGCTTCCAGTGTGTGCAACTGCAATACTTTTCCTTGGTTTGCCTTATTGATCTGACATAAGGAGCAAGTTAACAAGGAAGGGTGAGGATGAACAAAGCCTCATCAAGTCCACCCCCTCATAGCTATCAAGAGCTTTTCTTTCCAAGATCTCTGTCCCCATTCAACAGCCAAGGTTGGATTCTTTCAAAAGAGATGAGGAAGGACTCAGCCAGGTTAGCTAGCCTCTGGCTCAAACTTCAGAGCTGCCTTTCCTGCCCTCCATGACAAGAGAAGAGGAGGATAGTTTGGGTGGGTGGGTGGGTGGGTGGGAGGAGGGATTTTTACTTTCCAATCAGAAACAGAAAAAGGAGGTTAATTTGGAACAGAGATTCAGTTTCGACACTCCTGGTCAGAAAAAAAAAAGTAAAATAAATTCAAGGGCTAGGACTGAAGGACACAATGAAATGTTAAGAATTTAAAAAGCAGGATTGTGTTGCCTCAAACTTCCCATTTTCTCTCCCATCACTCCAATCAAGCAAGTCTTGGGGGAAAAAGCAATTTATTTATTTTTTTCTGCCAGACTGGGAAGCTTCTTAACTGCCCACCACCGGGCATGGGTGTGTTGACATACCAAGTCAGAAGTGGAACTGTTCAGGAATGGAGACCAACAGATTTCTTAGGTGAGGAGTTAGGGAAATAAAAAGGCACTTGGACCATTGAAGGAGAACCTTTATGCATGTGTGTGGAGTGGGAGAGGAAGGTGGTGCAGGTCTTAAATGTGTTAGACTCCATTTGAGGTATTTTCTTATTTCCCCCCCCCCCACTCCAATTCCCCTTCCTCTTATTTCCAACAATGCATGAAACCAGAGAACCATGCAAGCTTCTCTGCTTCCCTCTGCTTTTGATCTTCATCAGGACGTGAGCAGAAAGTTAATAGGGCCAGCCCTACCACAAAGGCAAATTACCATCCGAACACAACAGAACAAAACCCCAAAAATGAAACCCCCCAAAAGCAAAACAAAACAAAACAAAAATCTTCCGCTTCAGAGACGACTTTTCTCCCCCAAAGGCATTCCTCCCCCCCTCTCTCTTCTCTGCTCAGCATCCCCTCAAGCTTTCTTACTGCTTGCAGCCCCCCCACCGCCCTCGGCCCTTCCCTAATTCACGGACGGAGAGAGAATCCTGCGATTTAAATGGAATTAGGCAGCGCTAACCAAGCTGCC